TTTTTTGGGCACCTCTGTATATTCCATAAGGGTGGTGGTGTATTGTTGGCAGTTTGTTTTATTTTTTTCCTCTCCAAACTTACAAGCATGCATTTGGTAGTTTTGTAATGCTCAGCATTTATGGGCTACCAAGAATAAGATAGTCATCCTACCCTGAGAAGCCAAGACTCTCTTCTCTCTTTGTAATTTCTTTAACTTGCTCTTAGGAGAGTCCATAAAGGTCGATTTGATTTCATTACTTGCCCTAGCTCTGCAGTGTTGTGTGACCTCATTTAGGCTGAATGGTAAGTACTGCAGTTATGCTTGTGAATGAACCAGAGACAGTGAGATCCTTAAACCTTGTGTAGGAGGAAATTCTGCTAAGTTATTCCAAGTGTTGCTTTGTGTTGATTTAATTTTCCCCCACTGTCTTTGTAGTTTTGACATGTGTCCGAATAATTGCTCAGGCCGCGGAGAATGTAAGATCAGTAACAGCAGCAACACTGTTCAATGTGAATGTTCTGAAAACTGGAAAGGTGAAGCATGTGACATTCCTCACTGTGTAAATAACTGTGGTTCTCCTCATCGAGGCTTCTGCGATTCAAGTGATGTCAGAGGATGTTCCTGCTTTTCAGGGTGGCAGGGTAGGAGCTTCTTTAATTTTTCTTCCAATTTACAGTATATTCCTGGTTTAGTAAATTATAGATTGGTCCTAGCATCTATACCATTTATGTTAGTCAAATATCAGATAATGCTTAGCTTTTCACATCTCTTTATTGAGCTTCTTACAAATCTTTGAATTTCATAGATGTGTGATTGTGGTCTCTAGAATTGTGGAGGAGTTTGACATTCTTTGCAAATTCGTTCATGAAAACTGGAGAACTTGGTTTCAGCCATAAGAAGACACAGCAGAGAACCGAGCTGGGAGGTGGGGCAAGAGCTGACAGTAATGGTATCGCCTCAGAAACTTTCAGTAAATTCAGAGAAAATGGGGGTCATTTAGTAGAATTCTAAGGCAGTCAGCTAGCTAATGGAATTATCTGCAGATAAAAATTATTAAAGAAGCTTTAGTAAATGCTTTAAGGGGTGAGTGGTAACAGCTGTTGCTGATTTTCTTTATACATTTACCCCTTCCTCATACCTCTTTTATTGTAAAAGGATCTGTGCTTATTTAGTTGTTTTAGTTCATTCGATTTAGCTGACATCAAGGAGTTAAGTATTTGAGTACCTATCACTGTGCAAATGTTGCAACAGAAGCCAAACCTCCCAAGAATGGAGTTTCTTGATTTTCCAGGAAATGGATAGTTTGTATTATTACTCCAGGGACTAATCTTTACATTTTAATCCTAAAGTTTTTCATTTGAATTAGTCATTTCTCTTTGTCCACTCTTTCCTCTGAGGGCTGCTTAAGCAAGTATTTCATAACTAAAAAATCCTAACCTGGATATGGTCAGGTCATCATTAGAAAATAATGTGATTTTGAATTTTATGAGAGATTACTGCTGGTCACTAGCTTTGAGTAAATTAAAAGCACAAATTAAAGGAATTTGTCTGATATTTAGATGCTAAAGGAAAGACTAAGTATTCTTTAGATATTTATTACATTTAGGCGATTAAAACTTGAAATGCAATAATTTTAAAGCTGCATTTTGTGAAGTTAATTTATTATGTTTTGTTAGGTCCTGGATGTTCAATTCCTGTGCCAGCTAACCAGTCATTTTGGACTCAAGAGGAATATTCTAACCTAAAGCTCCCCAGAGCCTCTCATAAAGCTGTGGTCAATGGAAATATAATGTGGGTTGTTGGAGGATATATGTTCAACCACTCAGATTTCAGCATGGTTCTAGCGTAAGTTGTTTTATTAAACACTTTTGCAAGAAGCTTAGTTTTTCATTTTGAAATTTTATAAAGTAGAGATAAACAAACAAAAAAATAATCAGTAATTCCATTACCTGGTGAAAATCTCTCTTAATGTTTTTGTAGTAGTATTCCAGACTTTTTTTTTTACATATTCTTAGTTTTTGAAATCGGAAGCCACAGAGAATTCATTGTCATAAGCAATAATTCACCTTTTCCAGATACTATCTTGTATATTTTGCTTTAGGTATGTATAGTAGGTTCTCTACAAATAGGGGATTAGTTTGTCTCTTAATTAACATATTTATAGGTCAACTGGTTTGCATTTATAGTTTGCTAGTAGAAATAATGCCATTGTCTAATACTTTCTAGGGTTCAAGGTCTGTTTGCTGGTCCCATGCTGGTTTTATCTTGAAGGGAGAATATATGTTGCCACAGTAAAATTAGCTATGGAGATTGATTTTGGGGAGACATTTATCAACATTACTCATGCTGATTTTGTGCCCTGACAGTGTTTTCTAGGCATTTTCTATTAATGAAGGTTGTTAAAAACCAGCATTTGTTCTTTAAGGGATTCTGGAAATATAGCAGTGGTGGCATAGTTTCTGAAGCCTCCCAAATATAGTCATTAAAACACAGAGAACACTAGGATAACAATAAAAAACACATGGGACACATCTATAACAAAACTTGGTCAGGTGGGGCTAAACCACTGACAGCTGTAAGACCTATGTTGTGGTATCAGCATCTGTGCAGGAGTCAGCAAAGGGGAGCAGTGAGCCCACCGCCAGGCTCCAGTACACCTGGAAGACACTCGGAGGAAGCTCAGCCAGCCGCTTTGAGAACAACAGGTAGAATTGGAAAGATTTTGCATATTCTAGTAATGGGGTGAGTTCAAGGGATCTTTAGTAGCATCTGAAGGGGCTGGA